GGTGACGTCACAGGGGGCGGGGTCGTCCTGCGGTGTCCGCGGGCGCGGCAGGCCCTGGGTCTTCGGGGTTCTGAGCGGTTGTTGTGACAGGATCACAGAATTAGTCGGGTTGGAAAAGACCTCTGAGATCATCGAGCCCAACCTGTGACCCAACACCACCTTGTCAACTAGACCATGGCACTGAGTGCCACATCCAGTCTTTTCTTAAACACCTCCAGGGACGTGACTCCACCAACTCCCTGGGCAGGCCATTCGAGTGTCTAATCACCCTTTCTGTGAAGAAAGCCTTCCTAACTTCCAAAATAAAGCTCCCCTAGCGCGGCCTGACGGTGTTTCCTCTCGTCCTGTCACTGGTTGCCTGGGAGAAGAGCCCCATCCCAACCTCGCTACAACCTCCTTTCCGATAGTTGTAGAGTGATAAGGTCTCCCCTGAAGCCTCCTCCTCTCTAGTCTAAACACCTCCTGCTCCTTCAGCTGCTCCTCATAGGACTTGTGCTCCAGACTCTTCACCAGCTTCGTTGCTCTTCTGTGGACCTGCTCCAGCACCTCAGTGTCTTTCCTAAATTGAGGGCCCCAGAACTGAACACAGTATTTGAGGTGTGGCCTCACCAGTGCCGAGTACAGAGAGAGAATCACTGGTCCTGCTGGCCACACTGTTCCTGATACCGGCCAGGATGCCGGTGTGCCCACCTGGGCACACTGCTGGCTCATGTTCAGCCGCCATCGATCAGCACTCCCGGGTCCTTTTCTGCCGGACAGCTTTCCAGCCACTCTGCCTCCAGCCTGTCGCGCTGCATCTCTGTCCCGATGTCACTGAGCGGACACGGCCCTCTGAGGGTGCATGAGCGCTTCCATGGAGTCCCCATCCCGGCTCAGCGCCGCACCCCCCGCACTGTGCTCCGTCGGCAGCCGCCCGTTCTCAAAAGCAGAAGTGCGGAGACACGGACGTGTGGGACAGAGAAATCACGGCGGAGCTCGCCGTCCCGAAAGCAGAAACGCCGCGTCCCGCCGTTATTGCCTCACTGGGACAGGGAGTCCCTCAGGGAGCAGCTCGGCAGACGCCGAGCAAAGCCAAGGGCCGGGCGGGGGCAGCGAGCGCTGCGGGGCGCGGGCTGCGGGGGGAGAGCGCCGGTGGCCCTCGGGCAGAAGAACAACGCCTGCGGCTCAGCAAAGGTCGCTGGGTAACGCCCAGAGCCTTCAAAATGTGTTTGTGAATTAGTGCCGCAAAGGGGGACTATGTATTATCAATGTCTATAAGTATCTAAAGGGAGGGTGTCAAGAGGATGAAGCCAGGCTCTTCTCGGTGGTGCCAAGCAATGGGACAAGAGGCAATGGGCAGAAACTGATGCACAGTTCCACCTGAATACAAGGAAGAAATTCTTCACTGAGTGGATGACTGTGCACTGCAACAGATTGCCCAGAGAGGTTATGGAGTCTCCCTCACTGGAGATATTCAAGAACCATCTGAATGCAATCTTGTGCCATGTGCTCTGGGATGACACTGCTTAAGCAGGGAGGTTGGACCAGATGATCCACTGTGATCCCTTCCACCCTGACCCATTCTGTGAGAGGTCACAATGCCTCCCCAAAACCTGGTGACAGCCCTGCCCTCCACCTCGCTGCCTCCTCTCCCACGGGTCCCTGTCCTGAACCTTAACTCCTGGCACTCTCTTTTCCTGCAGAAGGCTCTCCCCAACTCTCAACATGGCCTCTCATGGACTGGGAGGTTTTACAGGGAACATTTGGATATGCCCTCTCCCACCCCTGAGGGGCCTCCACCCCTCACCGGGCCCCAGCTGCTCCCCTGTGCTCTCCTGCTCTGTTGCCACTGGGCCTCTTCCACCCTGGGCCCCCTCGGAGTGTCCTGACACCAGTCACGTACACACAGGCAGGGGCTGAGCTTGTTAAACATGGTGCGGCTGACACATCTGCAGGAAGGACGCCACGCAGAGGGACCTGGACGTCCTTGAGAAGTGGGCCCTCAGGAACCTCATGAGGTTTAACAAGACCAAGTGTAAGGTGATGCATCTGGGTGAGGGCAACCCCTGGTATCAACATAGGCTGGGGGATGAACAGATTGAGAGCAGCCCTGCCGAGAAGGACTTGGGCGTGCTGGTGGATGAGGGGCTGGACATGACCTGGCAATGTGCACTCACAGCCCAGAAAGCCAATTGTATCTTGGGCTGCATCAAAAGCAGTGTGGCCAGTAGGTCAAGAGAGGGGATTCTGCCCCTCTACACTCTGGTGAGACCCCATTAGGAGTACTTCATCCAGCTCTGGGGTCCCCAGCACAGGAAGGACATTGACCCATTGGAGTGAGTCCAGCGGAGGACCACCAAGTTGGTCAGAGGGATGGGGCACGTCTCCTATGAAGAAAGGCTGAGAGAATTGGGATTGTTCAGCCTGGAAAAGGGAAGGCTTAGGTGTGACCTAATTTGTGGCCTTCCAGTACCTGAACAGAGCCTGCAAGAAAGATGGAGAGAGACTTTTTACAAGGACATGTAGTGATAGGGAAAGGGGCAATGGCCTTAAACTGAAAGAGAGTAGATTTAGGTTAGATATTAGGAGGAAGTTCTTTGCTGTGAGGGTGGTGAGACATTGGAACAGGTTTCCTAGAGAAGTTGTGAATGCCCCATCCCTGGAAGTGTTTAAGGCCAGGCTGAATGGGGCTCTGGAGCAGCCTGGTCTAGTGAAAGGAACTCCCCTTTCCATGGCAGGGGGGTTGGAAGGAGATGATCTTTAAGGTCCCTTCCAATGCAAGCCATCCCATGGTTCTATGATCTATAGCCTCTATGATAACCAGCTGCACAGTCCTGCATGTGGCTGTGCCACCACTGTGGTTCCCCATGCAACTAATAGTTTTGAAACAGACTTCTGGTTTTGACATCCAAATACCTGCCATTGAATGCTGTTGCATTTCTTTTCTGTTGTACAGTGCTCCAAATCCACTGGTTGATGTGCTTCCTCAAGTCCTGTAAGAAAAGCTCATGTTCTGGACACCAGTGGACTGCACACTGGACACTTCAGGTGCCTCTGAAGCAAAGCTGAGGGGACAGTATGAATCAGTAAGTTCTTAAGTTTATCCAGGTAACTCAAGGAAATGTTGCACAAGATTTTCTTAAACTGTGGATTCAAGCTTTGAAATCGATATAGAGAATGGCTTTCCTGGATTTTTCTGCCTGCAAGACTGAGGCACAGGTCATGTCTGTAGTTCTCCAGTGCTCTCTAGTTAATCAGTGTTCTATGTGTGATCTGTTATGAAACAAGTAAATAAGACAATATTTGTGAATTGTGTTTATGATTTTTGAAGTACAGAGAAGAATCCAAGTGCCCACCCTCAAGGTCATGATTGGTTTTCATTTGAAATAGGTTTCTTTGAATTCATGTTTCAATTAATAAAATAATTCTTAACCTCAGAAAACTTACATTGCACAAGTTGAGCGTAAGAAAGTGAATAGATACACAGAAACTGTCTGCCAAATAACAAATTTCAATAACAAAATTAAAATATACACCTTCCTCTTTGATTTTATTCTTTGGTAGGCTTTTCCCTGTACATAAACTTGCTGACTAATCTGTATTTATAGCATTTATGACATGAGAAGCTTGTGCTTGCCACTGCTTGTGATATTTGGGGATGTAGTTCATACTGGGACAGCAATGTACTCGTGTTGTTAGGAAAGGGAGTTTCATGGTAGGAACTATGTTTAGAATCTGTAACACAAATGAGTGCCCAGAGACAGCTCATGGAAAGCTGGTTTTAAAAAGCAATAACTTGTAAACCAGGAGTTTCTGAAGAAATTGCCATTGTCTGGTTTTGGGTTGTTGTTTTACTGCAAATATGCTGAAAATGCTGTACCAGTTCTCTGGTTTTTGGGAAGTGAGGCCAGGATAGGCCCAAGACTACAGTTATAATGGTCTGTGGAGGAGAACTGTATATACAACGTAAACCAAGTACGCTCATTAGAAAACTTTATTTATTCTATTGCCAATAGTGTATTCCTGCTCTGGATTAACTATGCAGCCAAACCCATATGAACTACTACATAAACCCTTAAACCCTTGAGATAGCATGAGACACGTGCGAAGCAGGATATCATAGTTCCTGGAAAATCTGGTATGATGTTAGTGTTTTCTGTCTTAGTATAAACACAAACAGGCAGTTAGTGCAATGTTTTCTTATTAAAATGTCTGATAATTTGAGAAGCCCCTTGCTGTGCTGACAGAACAGCCACCCTAATGTAGTCGGTATCCACAGCAGTTCTGATTTCAAAATTAGCTTTGGTGCCCTTGAAGACCAATCGAGACAATTTTAAATGTTTTTTGTCCAGTGACCTTGGCTGAACAATTAACTTTAGTACCAGTCTGGAATGGACTAAGTGTTTGTTCCTCCATGTGTACTTTTTTGGTCATTCACTGGAATTACTTAAGCACCATTTATTGGAAATGATCTAGTTTGTGCTGCTTTTCTGAGAACCATTTTGGATATTGGTAGGCGAAGAACAAATTCTTCCCTGAGGTGGTTTTGTTCACAAATACACTCCACATCAATTTTAGCTGTTAAGGAAGAAAGCTGTAATGTGCTTAAGCTTGCCACGATGTGAAAGGATGAGAACAAATAATTACTGATTTAAGTCTTGTAGCCCAAGGCCTAAAGGAGAACAGGATCCTCCCTTCCCCCATGAGCTGCATAGGACTTGAAACCCAGAAGGGCTGGCCACTTTCTGGCATCTGGTAGGGAGCAGGAGAAGCTGGATGAAAAGGTCCAAAGGTCAGGATGAAACAGATTTCATTTATTGTGTGCATTTACAGTTAGTCATTATATTTCAGACTTTTGGAAACTGTATTCCTTGTTCAAGTGAAAGTTAAAATTCCTATTACCAAAAGTGGATGTCAGTGCAAATACTTCTGAATTATATTGTTGCTTTCCTCTCCCTGCCCAAAACTGTATTCTGGCATACAACAAAAGGAAAAACAAACAAACAAACAAACAAACAAACAAACAAAAAACTCCACTGCAAACCCTTCAAAATGTATGTAGCAAAATGCAAATCCTTGTAGCACTGCCAGGAGCAGAAGTGCAAGGGGCTCAAACAGGTTTGCATTCAGCTAAGAAAGTGTGTCACATCAGGTCCACAACAGTGGGATCCTAGTGTCTGATAAAAACCAATTCTGTAGTAAAAGTGATGGGAGTAGGGAAGAGAAGGGCAACATAGCTGTGCCCAGACTATAGGATTGCCCAAATTGTTGCCTGGAGTTCTGTGTAGAAGAAATTCATGGCCAAGGAAGAAAGGAAATACTAAGGTCTATTAGGGAAGTCTGTTTCATAGGCCAGAGATCTGTGCCAGTCTGTATGGCCCTGGACTCCTACGGGGAAGCTGAAATACTTGTGGAGTATGAAAAGAAAAGTGTAACTGGCTGAAGTGCTGTCATGAGTGAATGGACACACCAGCAGGCAGAAAGGGCAGCTGGCCAGGATGTCTGAGGGGTAGAACAACTTTAGGCTCTGCTGAGGCTTTTTGTGCCCTTCCAGCAACCTAAGCTGGGGTGTGCAGTCAGCCACAAAGCCTAATGCCTATGAGTCAATGCAGGGGGTGTGGGGTGCAGCTACGGGAAGAGGAGGAGAGCCAGTTGCCAAGAGAAAGATGACTCCGAGTTGTTATTTTTCTTGCTTGTAGAGAGGATCTTGCTTACTGGGGATGATTTGTGTATGTTACTTGATTTTCTGTCCCTTTTTCCTTTTCATCATTAGCTATAGTGGAATTTATTGACGTCATGGTTTGCAAGTGAGACAGTCTAATTCACTGAGTGTTCAGAGTGGCTCGATGTCATTCCACAGTCCTGGCTAGAAGGTAACTTTTTACTAGAAATGACATCTATAGAAACTGCCTATAGCTGACATAAAGTTTTCACATTTGTTTGAAGATCACTGGTTTATTAGATTTTAAAATTATTTTCCTCACAGACTGGATAAGGCTGTTCATGCTTAGACCATTCTAATCCTGCAGTTATTATTTCAAAGCATCGCTTTACCTGCATAATGGTTTAAGAAGTGTCTAAGCAGCAGTTCTGGAAACACCTTTATGTTGCCCAGTGAGTCTTTAACTCACATTCTCTTACAATTTTGAAATCATAGTATCATGATCTTGTAGCTTGTCTGTAGCACAGATTCTGTATTTTAGTGGTTTTCATGCTTGATTAGATATATGTTCATCTACATTCAAGATTATCTTTCAAATTACAAAATGAAGGGCATTCTTTGAATTACAACTGAAAAGGCTGTGATGCACCAAACCACTGTTATTTGCTAGGACAAGTTCTGGTAAGAAAATAATTTTTAACAAAAGAAGACTTTGTCCTGAGGAATAACAATAAATGTGTCTGTTACAAATTTGTGTTCTCAATTTTATGTTCTGGGTTTTATTTGGGTTTCCCGGCATCTGAACAGAGCAATTATGACTATTTTCAAGGGTGTAAAAATCTCCAAATTGTGTTTGCCTTTTTTTTTCCTCCAATAGCTTGAAATAAAGTAATAAAAGCCCTCAGATGTAATCCATTTTGTAATTTATATTTCTGCATTAGACAACCTGAAGGGCCAATAACAGGAAAGGGTTTTCTTTTACAACTAGCTGTAATAATGATTTAAAAAATCTTATTATTACCAACTTCCTAGAAACTTAAATTTACCATGTGGTGGTGGGCCTCAACATATGTTACAATAATTACTTCTGTCTTTCCTGTGCTAGCAGAGGTAGGTCTGTGCAAGATTTGTGATATATTTGCCTATTTTTAAGTTGACATTAATATATCCAATTTCATACAATTTCCCATATAAACTTGTCCTGTGGAGATAATGAGCAGCCCTGTAGGAGCCACATTCTGAGTCACTGTTTTGATGGCAGGGTTCCACGAATGTGCAGCTAGTTTTGTCTGCTGAGATGTCCTTTGGTATGCTACACAGAACAAGGTGTTCACACTTGAGTCACTGTGGAACAGCATCAGATCTTGTGAGGACCATGAAAAACTAGATAAAAATTCGCATTGCTACATTTACATGGCAGGGCAGGATTGTGATAATAGACTCACCTCTCTTTTTCCCTTGAAGTAAATCAAAA